TTTTGTAAAAATAAAAACTGCAAGTCTGCTGAAGCACTAGCAAATGTTTTTAACAACATTTTACAATATATCTTTGATAAAATTGCAATTTTTGGTGCCAATATTTATTTTTGATATTTTACAAATTATTTAAAATTTCTGTTTAGATATTTTTCTGCCCATAGTTAGTGATTTTTTAGGTCGATAATTTTACAAATATTTAAACTAGAAAATTTTATAAAATTTATCTTGTTAAAAAATTTGTAATTTAATTCCTACCAAATTCCCCTGGAAGCTAATTTCTCAGACTAGAATTTGTAAAATTTGTAATTTTACAAATTTTGCAAATTATTTTGTATTTTGTCAAATTTGTACAATTTGTAAATTTTGTATTTTTCGGCCATTTTTTGTTTTTATATTTTTCAATTTTTACAAATTAATTTGTAAAATTTGTAAAATTTGTAATTTTGGGCCAGATTTTCTTGATATTTTACATTTTTTTCAAATTAATTTGTAAAATTTGTATAATTTGTAATTTAAGTCCTACCAAATTCCCCTGGAAGCTAATTTCTCAGACTAGAATTTGTAAAATTTGTAAAATTTGTAATTTTGGGCCAGATTTTTGTTGATATTTTGCAAATTTTACTAATTGTAAATTTTGTAAAATTTGTAATTGTGGGCCAGATTTTTGATATTTTACAAATTTTACAAATTCATTTGTAAAATTTGTAATTTTGGGCCAGATTTGTTTGATAGTGTTCAAATTAATTTGTAAAATCTGGAAATTTCAATTTTTATACATGTACTTGCGAAATTGGTGAAATGCTTAATTGTTAACCATATTTGTTGGAATTTGGCATAGTTCAGAAACTAATCTGCAAAATGTGTATAACTTGTAATGTAACTCAAGCCAAATCTCCCCGGAAAGCAAATTCCCCAGAGTATGTTTCAATGTCAGCAAGCATCCGATCTAGAATTACAAGCTGGATTTGAACAAACATTGCTCGGGGGTTGCAAATTGCACAAGCTAGTTTGTAAAAAGTCGGTCCAGAATTACAAAAGTTACAAGTAAAGGTGTAAAAATGTAAACTTGATAAAACTTGATCACCGTCCTTCCCTTAACGGCTTTTTTTGGGTCAAGTTTGTTTCATTTTGAATCGGTTGAAGTTTGGTAAGGAAATGGGGAGGAAAGCATATTATCTTTTCATTTGGAATCTCTCTTTTCTGTTATTTCCATGTATTTGTTTTTCTTTAGGATCTCGAATTCATACTCCTTTCTTTATCTTTCACTCTCTCCCCTGACCATTTCTTCCTACAATCAACTCAATAAACTAGGATGGAAAAGACAGGGATAAAGAAATAAGCATAAGATAGGTAAAGGAGAGAGGACATCTTCTGTAACACGCTTCTTTTGGATAACTTTCATACCACACATACCTGATGGAGAAAGAGATGGAGAAAACCGTACAAATAGAAAGACATGGAAAGGCTGCTGGGATTGTTGGGATGGATTCATTTTATCGCATACCAGGTTAGACCAAGCGATGAAGGTCAGGGAAAGGGAAAGGTGTGAAAGAACAAAGAATGATTAAGAAAATCTTCCGCCCAGACATCACGCAGCATAAATCAGATAGCCTGTCCGTGAGACTTGGAGGATATGATGATTGAAGATTCCCTCACTATCCCTTTCCAGCCTGTCTTTGGGGCCTCTTCCAAATCATTGCCTGTTTCCTCTTGTCCATCCATCCTCATCCTTTATTTGCATTTATGGATGGGCAAGAAGTGACGAAAGCATTTGCAGGCAGAAATAAAATCCTGTTTTATACAAGCTAACGTAATTCAAAAACATAAAAAGGGCGCGAGACAGTTGTGACAAAGCTAAAGATAATTATGGGTGGTGCTTACAGAAGCTATCTAATTTATTACGTGCTAATACATGCTTCTAATCTTAAAACCATACTTACATTCCTCGTTCTTTTCTATTTTATTCTTCCCTTGTTGAGATTCATTACGCTATCTTTCTTTGTGAATGCTTTTGGCTGTCCGGTCGTCGCTGGGGCTCACCGAAAGGAAAAAAGATTATGAGTAGGTCTTACTCATATTATTTTGCTTGTGTTTTACTATCTTTTGGACCTTTCATCCTTCCCCTTCTTCTGTTTCCCTTTTCAACCGTTGAAGAATGCCAGAAATCGAGGGGTGAAGGAAGGAGGGAGAAGCTAGCCCCCCGTTCCTTCTTCTCCAACTGTATCGCTAGTGGGGAGAAGATAGGAAGGAGATGAACCGTTCCATCTTTACCTTTCCCTTCCCCACTACGTTCTGGAGTTCTGTCACTACGAAAGACTCACGATGGAACAGTCTAAAAGTGGGACGAAGGAAGGGGATATTGGCTTTATTTTTGGTTTATTTGTAGAAAAAGAAAGCCACTTTCCACAACCCGCTTCTTTCTGTAAAACACAGATGGAAGATGACCTTTCCTTTCCCGGCCCAGCCAACGCTTGTCATTTTCCTTGCCTTGTCTTTTACATTGCCATGTTTTGGAAATGAAGAAGTAAAGCGTCTGGCAAGGAGGCAAGCGCCCATCAATACTAATTGAAGATAAAGAATTGGATGGGCACTTACCATGTCTTTCTTTCACTTTTTTCTTTCCTTTTGATGAAATTGAAGATTGAAAATGGGAAGTGAGAAGCCTCTCTTGACTTCTTCCTCAAGCATAGGCTGCTGTTAATCTTATGCCGTGTGATGCTTGGGAAGAAGAAGAGAAGATAGGAGAGGGTGAACAGAAGTAACGTGATTCTTTCTTTTCCTCCGATCGCATCCTGATTTTGCCATGTATGTCACCCACCAACATCTTCAACCCATAAAGATTTGACTACAGAATCCTTAAAACCTTTTTAATAGCAAATGCTAGCGGTCTCTCTCTTTTGCTAATCAATCTTCTGGAAATGAAAGGACAATAATAGAGTTTTAGATCATAGGATGGTGTAAGGACTGGGTTCTTCTCATCGCTGACGTCCTTTCCTTGTCCAAGTCACGGAGGAAGAGAGGTTGGTTTGTGGTCCCAAGAGCTTGTATCCTTCCCTTTCTATCTCTTCCACTTCATCCAGGAAACATTTGTGGATGGACATGTCGTTATTAAGATCATTGCCTTTCGGTTTACCATCCCATTTATTGCTTGAATGTCTATCTTTCGTTGTCTTCTATTTACAGTACTATCTGAGAAGTATAGAAATGCTTCTGGGTGTGAGGTTGAATAAATTGGCGATGCAAAGAAAATCACGATGGTTGGAACAGAAAGTTAATCATTACCAAGAATAGGTTCATAGTCTCTCATCTGCTGGTTGCATTCTCATGTACTTGTTCACTTTGCAACCTTTCTACTTGTTTATCTATCTTCCCAATCTCTCTTTCTCTCTCTCGCATTGTAAACGGTAGAGGCATCTGGATGGGGGAAAAAAACCGGGGGGGTAACAACAAATATGAAGAAGAGGAACTGGCTAACACTCCTTCTGCTCTCCCGTCTTTCGCGGCTATCAGGATTAGTAAGAGTTTCAAAAAAGGCCTATGAAGAAACATAATAGACACGTAAATAAACAAATAAATAAATCAACAGGCAAATGACAGAACCAAGAACATGAAAGTAATAAAGAATGTTAATAAATGAAACGGTTTATTGGGAGACAAATTATTCTTGTCCATCAAGAACCCTCTCCAACACAGTGAAAAACCTAGAGTGGACAATGATGGATATGATAGAAAACGCAATAAGATAATAAAACACAGTAAGCTATGAGATTACAACGATTCTGTAATTATTGCCCTTAAATTCACCCCGTGACCACTTCATCCCATCTACACAAAGATATTGGAGAAGATATTAGTGCATGATGAAGAATAAACGCAAATTATAACCATAGATAGTTTGCTTGACTCTGAAGAGGCTGTTGGTCTTTACTCATGGAGTTTATTTATTTGTATCTTCTTTCTGCTTTTGTTCTAGTATAATTTCCTTGCAACATCTCTCACTCACTTCCTATCTTATCCTTAGATATGTGCAATATTCTTGAGTTTTAGGTGAGAATGAAAAGGATATTAATAGTTCAAAGTTGCTGGAGAAGGACGGAACACTATTTACGAAAGGCTATCTATTTACTAGAATCTCATGAGTAATGTTAACTAATTTGTATCGATTGGGGTTCATGTCTCACCTTCTCTTTTTAATGGGTTTCCTTTTGCCTCCCAAGCTAATACTTGTCAAATCCTACTGAATCAATCTTCACTAATAAAATCATGTTCATCGCTAGAAGTGACCGAAGGAAGTGAATAGTTTTCTCATCAGAATATTGCCTGTCCAGATAGAGTGATGAATGAAGAGACACTTAACTGTTATTATTGCCTAAGTGACGTCTCACGGACAGGCTACGTCTCCAGACCCTTTTTTTATATCTCTCTGATTGTTCTTTCCTTTTATGTTTTTTTGACCAGCATTTGTTTACTATTTACTTCTTCCTCACTGACATTCGATCTTCTCTAACTCTGTTATCTGTTACTGTGGCTTTAATCATTTGATTAACATTTTCCTCTTTCCATTTCCATGCTCTATCTTGGTGAGCTAGCAAACGTTTAATTTAAAAAAAAAAGATATGGAAGTGATAGATGGGAGGACACCATTATTTGTTTCCATTAATACTACTATTCACGAAGGTATACCGTGTGCTTTTATCACACTCACCCTCACCCTTTTTTCTAATACTACAAACTAGCTGGTTCTTTCAGGGTGGGGCATGCTAAGACATTCCTTTCACTCTTGGGATTGCACCAAAAGAGTCCATGTGCAACAATGTGCCGTTCTGCTCTTGAAGGCGCGCGGCGGCACATTGTACGTAATCTTCCCTGCCACCCCCCCCCCCCCCCCCCCCCCCCCCCCCAAATAAAGAAACTATTTCCCATGGCAGGAGGTCCCCCCTCAACCCAAGACTTGTTGGACCCCATGCTGGAGGTCGGCGGTTCGTTTCATCTTGCAGGAGCTGAGGACGCAACTGCTGCCGCTCGAGAGAAGCGACTCGGTTTGGTGGTCACCCACCTGAGGTTACTATGTGGTGAAGACATCTGGGTCCCCCAGCAATTGGTGCCCTTTCTCTCCCAATTTGTTTTTGTTGGGAGTGTGAACCCCCTGCTAAAATAGATTACCGAAAAAAATGGTAGCCTTATTCTGACGTCTCTGCTGGAGGACCCAGACATGATCCACTGCCTCGAACCACACTGCCGGATTTCCCCGGTCCTTTTTGGAAACCGTTTTGGGTTTCCATCATGCCCTCTGAGCCAGAGGAACTAATGTGAGGGATTTCAATGTGGCGGATTCATTGTGGGGGATTTGCAAATGCGAAGGATCCTCTCCAAAAAGACCCCCCTCCCTGTTCGCTGGATTCCTACAGGCAACATATGCCACATACACTTTACATGGTGCCTACATGGCGGTCCACTTATCAGTTTGAAAGGACATCTAGCACTACCTGGAACACATTTTTATTTCTTCCAGCGGGCTCCAAAAGCAGAAGCAAATGGAGGAGACTCTTGTCGCGAGCAAGCGCCCTAGGCTGTCTAGCCTCGAGTTCCCCGCTCAGCTCGTCTTGGAGCAGCCGGAGGAAGAGACCGCGGAGGCGCGGAATCACGCGCGCGGAGAGAGGGAAATGGGGGAGTTGCCCAAACCGTTTGTGAGACTTCTACCCACCTGTTTGAAACTATCCCTCAGTTTTCCTGCTGAACCAAAAATCATGTTGACTTTTGGCAGGGCCTACTTTTAGCCAAGAACCATGGGCTTCTGAATTTCCAAGCTTTAATTCTCACCTAAAAGCAACGCATGTTCAACTTAGCCTTTCCAAAAAGTGGTGTTGGACATCCCCAACATGTGAAGTATGAGTGTGCCTCCTGGGCTTTCATGTCGTACCCTTCTTGGGCTTGCTTGTTTTTGAAAACCGCAACGGAACCGAAGCTCATTTGGAGGTTAGATACCTCATATCACCCCCCCAGCCATGAAATTCCTGCATATGTTAGGGTCGCTATGTTAGGGTCGGTTGGGCGTTTTCAGGCAGTTGAAGCTCCCAACCCTTGGAGGAGTCTTTCGGGTGGGTAGGGTCCGGTAGCGCCTAAAAACGATGGCGATGGTAATATCGCCCGTTGCTCAAATGAGGTGTGAGTAGGGGGTGTCAGTGCGGAGTCCTTTAGTTGAGACATGGGAACACACTGCCCCAGCCCATATCATCGCAAGGAAACTTTTAGGGGCAACCGCACACACCAGCTAAAAAGTAGCGGATAAGCATGTAGTAAAGCGAGGTTAGCGGTCTATACCAAGGATCCATACTCCTTAGCTTGAAATGTGAGCCCCAAATCAGGCCTGATTTCCTTGTGGAAAACAACCCCAGAAAGGGTACCAAGTCAAGAAGCAGGATGCGCCATGATGCACTTCTATTGTCCGTGGCTCAAATGGGTATGAGCATTGTTTGGGGACGCTTTAGACGTCATAAATACCTTGAACTGGTTTCTACATATTACGTTCTTTATGTTGGAGGTTGCTCCAACCATTGAAATGGCCAAATGTGCAATGCCCACCAGATCCAGGCAAGTTAGTGACCAGAAATTCTACTAGGCTTTATTACATGATGATGAGGGGCTTACCTGGGCCCACCGATCAAAAAAACAGCTAAATGAGCCCAAAAAGGTCGGATGGGGCCTTATCGGTTGAGAGAGGTAGCTAACTGTTTCCACCTTAGGGTTTGTGGCCTCCGTTTCCCTACTCTTGATTCTATGGTTTGGGTTTAGCTTCTGATGGCTTGTGGTTACCCACCCCGAGGGGCAGCCTCATATGTTCGGTCGGAGGGGCTAGAAGAGCACAGGGCTTGGTTTGAATCCATCCACCGACATATGGGCGTGCAGACAACCCCATACGTCAAGCTTAGCATGGATCCTTGGTATGGACCGCTAACCTCGCTTTGCTACATGTTTATGCAGCCACGTAGCTGGTGTGCGTGGTTACCCTGGGACAAATGGGGGCTCATGAAGCAAAACCTGCGGTGGATATCCTGGCGGTTTTATTTTTGGCTCATACACATACTAGGTCCCCCGGTAGTGTCCTGTTTCCCCTTTTTTTGGGGAGGGTTCCCCTGCTAAAATAGACTACAGGAAAAGAAGGGTACCCCAAAATGGGGGTGCTTTCCTGTCCGGCCTTGAACACTTTATTCACCAAGCAAGAATGGGTTTCCCCAGCAAATGCTTAGTTGCCCAAAGCGAATCGACCTTTTCACCTTTTGGTTTCTCCTTTTTGGTCTAGTTTTATGGACCCAAAAGGTGATCACCTTTTATTTCTGGGTCCCTAAGGGGCAACTGAGAAAAGAGTGGTTTCCCTACAAACAGCGAGTTTACTCTCGGGTTTCCGTTTAGCTACCAAAAGGGGTCCACCATTTTGAGACCCCTAGAGGATTCGGTGGATGGCACGGCGCGATTGTCCCATCTCTCCAGAAGCCAGGGGTCCTAGCTGACCTAATGTGGTGACCCGAATTGAGGTTTTAGCCGCTTCCAAGAGACGAAGTTTGGTGTTGTTCCACTTGGAAACGGCTGACCTAATGTGGCTGTGACTCGAATGAGACCACGGCAGCCCTTTGGACCGGAGGAGAAGCCCAACATGGGCCTGGTGAAGCTGAGCAAGCTGCCCGCGCTGGACGGCTTCTGCAGCCGAGCCCACAGCCGCGCCGATCACCGGGGGCGTTTTCATCTTGGGCCCTTAGTACGGCCCAAAGGTTTGTAGGTTTTGGGGGCTTGGGGGTTTCCATTTGACTGGTTTGTAGGTTTTGGGGGCTTGGGGGTTTCCATTTGACTGGTTTGTAGGTTTTGGGGGCTTGGGGGTTTCCATTTGACTGGTTTGTAGGTTTTGGGGGCTT